CATAATTTTGAATGCCCACACAAGAGCAGCCCTACAGACATTACTTTTAATTGTGTATGAATGGAAAAAAATAGTGATTAGCCCCCTTTATTGACCTGGGTAACAAACTGAACTAAGTTTAGAACTTTAGCATAAAAGGAAAAAAAATCAGCAATTATTGTTTAAAACTCTTTATTTTGTTTATCAAATGCATACACATTTATGATGGCTCAAGGTAAATAAAGATTTGATTACTGAACAAATTGAAAATATGCAGAAATCCAGCTTTCCAATCATGAATTGTTTAACATGAGTTTTTTTTTCAGCAAGATTTTATTACCCCCTTACCCATCATATTCTTTTTTGTATTCATTTCTGGTTTTAGTAACATAATGTAGCATTTAGGGATAAAGATACAAATCAGCAGTCCAAAACTGGAGGCAAGAATGGCAAAAATTTCCACAGCAACACTAAATTTTCCAGGAGAGCTGACATATGCTGGGATAAAAGTGATCCATACTGCACAGAATATCAACATACTAAAAGTGATAAATTTAGCTTCATTGAAATTATCAGGTAGTTTGYGAGCCAGAAAAGCAAAAATGAAACACAAAAAGGCAAGAAGTCCAATATACCCAAGTACAGACCAGAAACCTACAGCTGATCCCAGAGCACACTCCAAAATGATTTTATCTTTAAAACTTTTTAAATTTTTAGATGGAAAAGGAGGAGAAATTGCTAACCAGAGAATACATATAATAACTTGTATAAGAGTAAAACCCAGAACACAGAGTCTTTGCTGTGCAGGCCCAAACCATTTCAATACATTACTGCCTGGAAGTGTAGCTTTAAATGCCATTAAAACCACCATTGTTTTACCTAAAATACAGGAAATGCAGAGGACAAAGGCAATGCCAAAAGCTGTGTGACGGAGCATGCAGGACCACTCAGAGGGATGTCCAATGAAGGTCAGAGAGCAGAGAAAACACAGAGTCAAGGAGAAAAGCAGCAGGAAGCTCAACTCAGAGTTGTTTGCTCTGACAAGAGGAGTTGTCCTGTGTCTGAAGAAAATGACAGCTACAGCAGCCGTCATACATGTTCCAAATAAAGAAGCTACAGTAAGCAGTGCTCCCATAATTTCTTTATATGACAGAAACTCAGCCTGTTTTGATACACAGGCATCTCGATCGAAGTTGGACCAGAATTCAGGGGGGCATCTTTCACAAGTGACAGAATCTGAAAAACAAACACATAAAAGTTGGAGGACTTACTACATCTATTTTTTCTTATTCTATTTTATTTTTTAAGCTTTATGTGAGTAATTGATGACATACAATTACAGTAATAAAAACAGTGAATAATCAGCTATTTTGACTAGATGAACTTGAACTGATATTTTAAAACCCACATCTTCTCAGGACTCTTGTAACCTTTCTTTTTTTTATGATTCAGGGTGTGAGGTGCGTTCCGTATGTTTAAAGATCATTTTAAGATATATAT